AGTAAAGAAAATGAACAATTCGTAGTAAAATAGCACAAGTATGTAAAAGTAAAGAAGATATCAATATAATGAAAAAAGGTAGTAATAATAACAATGCAATCTCCTATTTGTTTAAATAAAAGAATTGATATGACTTCTGGTGCTTTAGAGAACTGATAAAAACATAAATTTGAAAACAAAATATCTTTAAAAACCATTGCCGGTCTGGCCAGTAGTGGCACAGGCCTTTAACTTGGGAGTCAGAGGCAGGCTGATCTCTATGAGTTCAATGCCCGCCCGGTCTACAAAGTGAATTTCAGGAGAGCCAGGACTGTTTCACAGAGAAACCCTGTCTGAGGATTGGTGCTGGGAAATCTGGATACTCACATGTAGAATATTGAATCTAAATCCCTATTTCAAACATTGTGCAAAAATTAACTCCAACTAGGTCAGTGACCTTAATGTGACACATTATATCTTGTAATTGCTAGAAAAATAATCTTAGCAAAACCAATTAAAGAAATAGGTATTGGAAACACATTTCTGGGAGAAAAGTATAAAAGCTGTGGAAATAATAGCATGCATCACTAAGGGATGCTATTAGATATAAAAACGATTGTAATAAAGGAAAAAGATTACAAGGCTGATGAGAACACAAAATGGGAGAAAATATTTGCCAGATATTTATATATCTGAAAAGGAATTAATCTGTCAAATACATAAGTAGTCAGAAAAAGCATCCCCAGTCTACATCCATACCACCCTGAATGTACTCAGTCACATAAGCTAAGTAGGGTCGGGCCTGGTTAGTACTTGGATGGGAGAAAAAGCAAGTAATAAATTTCCCCAAATGGAAAAATAAATAAAAAATAATACAATAAATAAATAGACTAAATTGAATAGACACTCAAGAAAAAGTTGTAAATGCTAATAAAAAGTTCTATATTTACATCATTGAGAAAAAGAGGAACAACATTAAAATTTGAGTTTATTTCACCCTTGACAAAATATCTATTATCATAGAACTAGACATAACAATTTCTGACAAAAAGAATAAAATCATGCACTGTTGGTGGTAATGAAAATCAGTCTAGTCTGTTTGAAAATCAGGACAGCATTTTCTCAAAATCTTTCTGTAGGGATCAGAATTATTTCAGGTATACCAAGAAAGAGTATATATACACAAATCTAAGTAAGCATACAATAAAGATACCATCTTAAACTTCTTTGTCATTGCACTTCCCACGATACCACAAAATGAAGAAGCAACTTGTGTGCCCATCAAAAAAGGAATGGAAAAATCAAAATATTCTATGGTGAACTTTTAGAAGAAATTCACACTCTTTTCCTAATGAAGCATATATTCTTTAGATTCTTACTTAGTACCATGTGAATACATGTTGAAAGTAGTATGCTAAGTTAATGTATATAATCATGAAAAAAATACATATTGTATGACTCATTTTATTTTTGTGAAAAATGTCCAGAGCAGGCAAATCTATAAAAGGTAGAGAAGAATACTGATTGCTTAGACATAAAGTAGATGAACATGCATGGCTGCTAATGATTACGGTTTTCATATGGGATTGGTTAAATAGCTTTATTTTGATATTGGTATGAATATATGACATTATGTTTTGTAAAAACAATGTCTTTATACTTTGTAAAAAACACTCTGTTGTATATTTTTATACTTGAATAATATGACTTTTAGGTAAATAAAGCTGTTAAAAATAAAAAAAAAACTTATCTTTTTCCCATTTTTAGAAATGCATTATGTAGTTTTATTCATCTATCAAGAAGATGACTATACAATTGGCAGGAAATTGTACATAACAAGATCAACATGTTAACTAAAATAAATAAGACTCAAAATACAAGTACAATATATTTTCTCTCATGGAAAATTTGAAAATAACGAAGGAATTGAAAGAAAAAGAATACTGTGAGAAGTCTAAGTTCAAGGTAGGGGAGAGATATGATGAAAATAGATTATACTCATGTATAAAAACATCAAAATGAAATTCATTATTTGTATAATTAATACTTGCTGCTAATGCTAAAGTTAATGTATAGTCACAAAAATGTAACTGGTTCCAAAAACAATTTGATAGCATTGTTTAGAAATCTGCCATACAATGTTTCCTTCAGGGATGTCAGAAGCTTAAATAAAATAAACATGTAATTGTAATATGTAATATACAGTATAGCTATAATGCATCATCAATGTCCAAAATATACTTAATAGAAAGCCAAACATAAAGGTACACACTTGAGAGTTATCTGTTAAAATCTTACTAGTAGACTGTAAAATGAGTTTCCAATAGAAATATATAGTTCATTCATCACAGAAGAAATGATAATAAAAATATTATTTACCTTAAATTCTTAGTTTTAAAAAATACTTTTGTATAACAGTGATTTTTCTGTATGTATGTCTGTATACCATGTTTGTTCAGTGTCACCAAAAGCCAAAAAAGACTGTCAGATTCACTGGGAATGAAAAAAAATGGTGGTTATAAACAGACTTGGGTGCTGGGAATGGGTCAAACCCAGGTCCTCTGGAATAGCAGCTAGTGCTCATAACCACTGAACTATCTTTTCCACCCCAATTACCTAAAATTAATTACTCATCTGTTGCCTTACACATTGCTGTGAAAATTAAAACCAAACTCGCCCTGTGGTTTCCCATGATTGAAATCTACCAGGAATAAGGAGACAAATTAAAATAGTATGAACAATAAGAGCAAGACCTCTATATCTGTATAGAACTAGAATATGTGTTTGAATCCACCTGAAGAAAGGCAGGTCAAAGAGAGAATTGTCTGTAGGAAATTTTGAAATGTGGCTTGTTTTCCCCAATATGCAATATAGAGGACAGTGCATTTTAAAGTAATATCTGAAACCAGTAGAAATTCATTGCTAAAAATTTTGAACATATTCTTATATCTGTCACAGGATATAGACATAATTGTTAAAATAATGATTTCCCTTCACACCTCTAATTACAAAGTACCTCACAGTCTCCTATGCTACCTTCACTGTGACTCTATGTTAGAACTAACTATCATATAAAGCATACCAAGATTTCTTGAAAACAATCTCATGGATTAAAATATTCATCTGAATGTCCAGGCTCAAAAAGATATATGGAAATTTACTGAGTATCTTCAAATAATCAAAGTAAGAATTATTTTAATTCTAGCAAGGTGGCACAGGTCTGTAACTCCAGCACTCAAGAAACAGGCAGTTGGTACTCTAAGGTACATCATGAGTTTTCCAGAGCAGCCTGAGCTACATAATGAGTTGTTGTTCCCCCACAAACAACAGAAGATATAATATTCAATCAGGAAATGATGACATACGGGGACACTGAGGCAGGAAAGTCACAAAAGCTCATTAGTTCTAGTGAAATCTAAGATTCATAGAAAGACAATTCTCCAAGATAAAAGAGTAAAGGGAAAGAGGTGAGGATTGAGAAAAGGGGTGGTGGAAGGGGACAGGAAAAGAAAGGGAAGGAAAAGGGAAAGACTGAAGAGGAGAAAGGAGAACTGAGAGAGAAGGTTGTAAATAGCTGCCTAGGGCAGTGCAGGAGTGAGAGAGGAGTCATGAATCACAGTAAATATTCAGGGTTCCAAGTACAAAATAGCAAAGGCAGCACAGAGTCCTTTCAATGTTTTATGGTTAAGACATGAACAAGGATCGTATAATCCAAATTGTTTTATTTTACTTTCTTCTCAGGATTCTGATGAACATAAGATTTTTCTGGAGACCTTGCTTATGTTAAGATAGCCCAGCTTCACAGACAAAGTCAACATGAATTGATGTGAGTTATCTGGGGACTTTATTCTCCTGGAACAAAAAAGGATGAGAACAGTTCCTCCTATGGAGTTCTATTCAGAGAACAAGGTGGGCGGGTGCACGGGGGGGGGGGGTCGGGTGTGTGTGTGTGACAGAGAATCGGAAGTGAGGGACCCTAACTTCCGGTTAACTGGCCTGTTGGTGTACACTTGTTTAAGCTTGGTGTACGCGCCTCCTATCAGGTAAAAGGATCTCCGCTGATGTTATATATTGTTTGGAGGGAATTTTCTAGGTCAAAACTATGACAACTATAAACCTATTGTGAAGCCCCTAAACCATAGCTCACCCTTGCCCATGAAAAGGAAGCCAGCCACACAGGCCTGCTTCTGCTATGGTTTCCAGAGTTCAGGACATGGCAGTTAGGCCACGATACCAGTCACTTTCCGCTCATTTCTTGGAGAGTGAAGGCCTCTTTCAGAGGCTGGAGCACTAAGTAAATATAGAAATATAGAAGTTATGGTTTATGAGGCGGGAGGCCAATCATGAAAATTGGGAAGATTGACCCATGCTGTATGGAGGAACTGATGAACAGAATCGTTCCCTTGTATGGTGGGTCAGACAAGCTTAAAGTCTGCGAGGTTAACTCACTTGTCATTTGGAGAACAGCCAAGTGGGAAAATTATGGAGTGTATTTTAGGATGTTCTCAGTGAGGAGAATCTGGGAAAGAAATGGGGGCTTCACAGAAGCATAGGTATATTTGGTGTCTGCTGAATGGCATCAGATATCATGGGTGAAGCTTGTCTTATTTTCTTCCTGTGTGCTACTAGTGAAGTTCATAGAGTTAAGTTTAAAGAGGCAGTGGAAAGTGGGGACCCAGACATAGTTAAAAATGTGCATAAGGGTTCTGAATGTAAACAAAAAGGTTTCTGATATTTATCAAATGGGGCTCTAGTGAAAACACGTTTCTCTCACTAGGATGATATAACCTGGGGTTCAATGCAGTGGGCTAATAGACTCTGATTTCCTCCATAGGTTTCTTAGGAAGTGGACTGACCAGGACAAACAGCACTGTGAGCACTCAAAAAGAAGCCCCCAGGGAGCATTCATTCATTAAAGGGAAGTTTCTCACTACCTAGTGATGGTATGCCACTCACAGTGTTATTCTATTCCCTCCAGATTTTTTCAGCACTCCTGCCTGCTGTCCCTGAGACAACTCATCATGCCTAGAGGCAACAAGAGCAAGGGCCGCTCCAGGGCCAAAAGGCAGCAGGCCCGAGGAGAGAGCCAGAGTATCCAGGATACTCAGCCCTCTGCAGAGGAGGAAGCAGCAGCGCCCCCTCTTGGCCAAGGAGATGCCCCCAGCTGCCCTGATGTATGCATTCCTCAGGGGTCCCAGGAGGCTGCACCCCATGGATCTCCTGAGTTAGATGTCCTTTGCTCAGGCTATGATGTTGGTGCTGAAGGTTCTGATGTTGGTGCTGAGGCTTCTGTTGCAGGTGCTGAGGAGAGAAGTGATGTCGGTGCTGAGGCATCTGTTGCAGATGATGATGAAAAAAGTGCACGTGCCACCAAGATAGCAGCCGCCATTCAGTCTGCACGCAGAGATCCACTTACCAGGAAGGCCAATGTGTTGATAGAGTTCATGTTGGAGAAATTTAAGGTGAAAAAGCCCTTCACACAGGCAGATATGCTAAGGGTGATCAGCAAGAAGTACAAGGCACATTTTCCTGAGATCCTTAGGAGAATCTCTGTGCGCCTGGAGCTGGTCTTTGGCCTTGAGTTAAAGGAAGTTGATCCCAGTTCTCAGTCATATATGCTTGTGGGCAAGCTGGGTCTCTCCACCGAGGGAAGCCTGAGTGGCAGTAGTGGGTTGCCCAAGACAGGGCTCCTGATGACCCTCCTGGGTGTGATTTTCATGAAGGGGAACCGTGCTACTGAGGAAGATGTTTGGGAATTCCTGAAAGTTGTTGGGATATATCCTGGGAAGAGTCATGTAATCTTTGGGGAGCCCCGGGAATTTATCACCAAAGATTTGGTGGAGGAAAATTATGTGATATACAGCCAGGTTCCTGGCAGTAATCCCCCAAGCTATGAGTTCAGATGGGGTCCCAGAGCCTATGCTGAAACCACCAAGATGAAAGTCCTGGAAGTTGTAGCTAAGATCAATAATACTTCCCCCAGTTTCTTTCCTAGTATGTATGAAGAGGCTATGCTTGATGAGGCTAATAGAGCAGCAAGGAGATTTACAGATGTGCCTGGCAATGCTGTTGATTCCAGGGATATCAGGGATGTTAGGGCTCATCGCAGGTGCATGGCTCACAGTTCCTGCCACATTTAGTTCGATTGAGATACAGTTTTCACTGTACTGAAGAGTAGACAGTCTTCTCAGTAATGGAATATTCTATGGGCTAGAAATAATAAAGTTTGTATCTTATTATTCTGTAATACATGAGTAAAGTATATATATTTTCCTTTGCTATTTGGCAAATGTTTCTTTAATTGAGGGTTAGCTTACTTCATTATCTGCTTTGTAACATTGTACCTGACATACTTGTTGTTTTCATGTTTAAGACTAAGAGTTTGGCTATTTTCAAACAAACTGGTAAATCTTCAAATGCAAATGTGTTATTGGAACAATAATTATCCTGGAAATGTGGAATTGCTTTATGGTGAAACAGAAGTCACAAGGTTAATTCAAATTGGTTGTATTTTGCCTTTTCTTGTAATGCTAAATGAAATAAACTTGGATTCAAAATATATTAGAAAATACATTGTAATAGATATCGCAGGAAAAAAGGCTGGGGGACAAGGATATCACAAGAAATCTCACAGAAACAACTAATCTGGGCTCATAGAACTTCCATAGTCTGAACAAACAACCAGAGAACCTGGATTGGTCAGCCTGCCAGCTTCACTCCCCTGTTGTCACTCCCACCCTTACAAGCTCCCCAGTGCTGCCTCAGGCTGCCCACCTAATGCAGGCTGTTCTGCTCTCAGGCTCTCAGGTCTAGCTCACTCACACTCACACTCACAACACCAGGGTTAGCGCCACTCTGTTGCCCAGGAGAGGTGCAGGGCCCTCCCTTCCATTTGCTGTAGGAGTCATAGGAGCTGTGTTAGCAAGAACACAAGAATAGTTTTTCTGTTCTTATACCCTAAGGACTGGCTCACCTATGACCCTGACAACAGGATTAGCTCTAGTGTGGTTCCCTGGTGAGTTACAGTGTCTGTTCTCCTTTGTGCTGAAGTTGTTTAGGGGCAGAACTAGTTCTCCCACTCTAGTAATCCTGGGGCCAGTTCTCTCAACTAATACAGGGAGCAAGTGTGTGTGTGTGTGTGTGGGGTGGGTATTTTTCTGTCACCCAGGTCACCACAAGGCAGACAAGGGGGAGGAAGGGTCAGCTCTCCTACTCTCATGCCCTTAGGGTGGGCTTGCCTGCATCATTGCCAACAGGGTTAGCTCTAATGCCCAGGAGGAATGCAAGGCCTGTTCTCCCTTGTGCTGTAGGCAGTGATGTTTTGCTTTGGTGGAGATGTTGCAAAGGTGGAGGGGTAGGGGAACATGGGTGGGATTGGGATGATGTGAAAAACCACAAAGAATCAATAAAAGTTAATAAAATAAAAAAGACAGTTCAGCAGGTTTTTAAAATAAAAGTAAGTTAATAAAAAGCTAGTTGTAAGGTGGGACATGGAACTAATATTTTTTTCTAAAAGAATACTGATGAATATTTAAAAAAATACTCACCATCTTTAGCCACCAGGGAAATGAACATTAAAACAAATTGAGATTTCATCTAACCCCAGTTAGATTGTCAAAGGATGAAAAGTGGAGATACTCATTAACTTTCTAAAGTATGAACTGAAGACACTATAGAAATCAGAGTAAAGGGTCCACAAAACAACGAGAAATAAATTGCCATAGTATTCATCTATACCAATCCTAGGGACACACACACACACACACACACACACACACACACACACACACACTCACACACACACACACTCAAATATTAAAAGGATCCTAATTTTAATACAGAGATAACTTGCTCATTCATGTTCATTGTTGCTCTAGTCATAATAGTAAGAAAATAGAAATAGCCTAGGTGTCCATCAACTGATGAATAGAAAATAAAAATGTACCATATATATATATATATATGTGGTACATATACATACATATATGTGTGTGTGTGTGTGTGTGAATTATATTCCTCTATAAAGAAAAAAATGAAATTAAGAAATTAGCAGGTATACTGGAGCTAGAAATAAATATTCTGAGTGAGGTAAACCAGACCCAGAATGGCCAACATGGTATGTTTTCTATCAGATGTGGATGCTTTGGATCTTAAGTATATTTGTTTAAATTAGAATGCTCATAGAAGTCAGGAAACTAGTAAGGGAATATGTAGGGGATATCAAGAGAAAGGAATAGAACACAGGTGGTATAAAAGGAGAGAAGTGGGTAATGGAACAGGAAAGGCTAAATGGGGTGGAGAGGAGAGGGCAGGGTAGAGAAGGGAGTATGCACAGTGATAACTAACACTAAAGATCTTTGAAAAAATCATATGGAAGCCTACTGTAGTAACTTCTTAAAATATAGCTATATGCATCTATAAATATAATTTATCTTAAGTTACCACCAGAAGAGGCACAATGCTTTCCCCAGACAAAAATAAAGAGGATAGTATACTCATAATATACCATGTTGTTAGACAATGAGGTCATAGAGACCTCTACAAATTCACCAGACTTCTGTGACTGTTTTTGTTTGCCCTCCAGAACTCAATTAAATCATGGCACAAGGAGAAATCAAGCTGGCAATAACTTGGAAATTTCATCACTACCAACTATATTTCAGAGAGCTGGAAGGTAGTTTGTATGCTATAGGAGGACAAAATACACACACACGTACACAGACACACACACACACACACACACACACACACACACAAACGCACACGCACACACTTCTAAATCCTATGAGTTAAAATAATGACTAGCCTGGTAAGATTTGCCATTGGTCCAATAGTGGCATGAATGTGATGAGACTAACCCACTGCTTTCTATCTGTATCTAAGGTTCAATCCACAAGACTGAACTCATCCCAGGTTCCCTTAAAAAGACCAAGAACACTTGACTGGGAAGGTGATGAGCCTCAGGGAAGAAATTATTACAATTGTTTAGGTAAATGTACATAACACTAAATTGCCTCCTGAGTACTTATCTTTATTAATTGTGAATGACTATGTCTCTCAACACTCATTATAGAAGCTTCTTTTTGCAGCAGATGACAATTAACACAGAGACTCCAATTGACCAATATGCAGAGAATAAGTGACTGTAGAGTGCTTAGTTTCAAATGATTCATCTATTTCACATTCCTTACACTCAGTGCTTAGGGTCTATAAGACTGGGAGGAAGTAGACATCTGCAGCAAAACAGTATTGGTAGGACATAACAATATTGCACACATGAATTCAAGCTGGCTGGGTATGCATGCACAAGTGTGTTTGAGATCAAGACATCCAAAACCCCAAGACAGATAGGAGGGTGCCTAGCTGGAAAAGAGCAGATAAGTAATGGCTGGTTAGAGAGAGGAAGTCAATTTTTATCTGGGATGCAACCCCCAAGAAGCTACTCATGATCCACTAGATGACCCTACATCCATGCAAATAGGTCGACTCATTGGTTGGGAGGAGGGAGAGAACACATGACATTGTGAAAGAAAAATAGTTGGAGGGATAGTTATAATTGCACAGCAGGAAATGGTGGGTGGATTTAATAAGGCTGTCTTAGAATTCCATTGCTGTAAGTAAACAACTGATATCCACAAATTGGAACAGAAAGAAAATATTTAATAAGGGCTGCCTTACAGTTCAGAGGTTTAGTTCATCATTGTAATAGTGGAAAGTATGGTAGCACACAGGACAACATGATGCTAGAGAGGTAGGATCTGGATGGGAAGGCAGCAGCAAGAACATGAACCACTGGGTCTGGCTTGAGTTTCTGAAATCTCAAAGCCTATCTTAGTGACACACTTCCTCCAACAAAGCCACACCTACTTCAACAAGGCCACTCCTCCTAACAATGACACTCTCTATGAATGTATGAGGGCTATTTTCATTCAAATCACTAACCACCACATTATATGGGTGCAAGAAATTCTCAAATAGTAGAAAAAGCATAAAAAAATAAAATAAACTTAAAATAAAAATAATTATAAGAGGACAAATTAAAGCTGAGAGTTGAGATGGGGTGCCTGTGGTGGAGCTTGAGGAATGTGAGAGGTGGATAAAAGAAAAATAATTTGTATACTATAAGATATTTTTCAAAGGATAAATAAAAATAAATAAAAAGAGCCAGATTCTGTTCTACTAAAGGAATATTTTCATAATAAATTCAAGGACAAAACAAGGCTGTCCACTCTCTCCATATCTCTTCAATGTCGTACTAGAAGTTCTAGCTAATGCTATAAGACAACAAAAATAGATCAAGGGGATCCAAAACAGAAAGGAAGAAGTCAAACTGTCTCTATTTGCAGATGATATGATAGTTTTCATAAGTGACCCAATAAACTCTACCAGGGAACTCCTACAGCTGATAAACACCTTCAGCAAACTAGCAGGATACAAGATAAACTCAAAAAAATCAGTAGTCCTACTTTTTTCAGACGACAAAGAGATAGAGAAAAAAATCAGAGAAACATCACCCTTTAAAATAGCCACAAGCACATAAAGTATCTTGGTGCAATGCTTACCAAACAAGTAATAGAACTATATAATAAGAACTTTGTGGCTCCAAAGAAAGAAATTAAAGAAGATACCAGAAAATGGAAAGATCTCCCATGCTCTAGGATAGATAGGATAAACATAGTAAAAATGGCAATCTTGCCAAAAACAATCTATAGATTGAATGCAATCCCCATAAAAATCCCACAATTCCTCACCGATCTTGAAAGGATAATAATCAACTTTATATGGAAAAACAAAAGACCCAGGATAGCCAAAACAACCCTATACAATAAAAGAACTTCAGGAGCCATCACCATTCCTGACTTTAAGCTCTACTACAGAGCTCTAGTTCTGAAAACAGCCTGGTATTGGCATAAAAATAGACAGATATACCAATGGAATCAAATTGAAAATCCTAATATTAACCCACACACCTATGAAAACCCGATTTTCGACAAAACAGCTAAAATTATACAATGGGGCGAGGACAGCATCTTCAATAAGTGGTGCTGGCACAATTGGATGAGGGTGTTTAGAAGACTGCAGATAGACCCTTGTCAGTGGCCATGCACAAAACTCAGGTCCAAATGGATCAAAACCTCAACATCAATCCAGCCACATTGAACATCTTAGAAGAGAAAGTAGGAGGTACTCTTGAACAAATTTGTATAGGAGACTACTTCATGAACATAACTCCAGGGGCACAGACATTGAGAGAAACAATTAATAAATGGGACCTCTTCAAACATAGAAGCTACTGTAAGGCAAAGGACACATTGGACAAGACCAAACAACAGCCCACAGACTGGGAAAAGATTTTCACCAATCCTATATCGACAAAGTTCTGATCTCCAAAATATACAAAGAACTCAAGAAAGTAGTCGATAAAACACCAAATAACCCTATTAAAAAAATGGGGTATAGAACTAAAGAAAGAATTCTCAATAGAGGAAATCAAGAAGGCTGAAAGACACTTAAGGAAATGCTCCACATCCTTAGCTATCAGGGAAATGCAAATCAAAACAACTTTGAGATACCATCTTACTCCTGCCAGAATGGCTAAAATTAGAAACACCAATGATGACTCATGTTGGAGAGGATGTGGAGAAAGGAGAACACTCCTCCACTGCTGGTGGGAGTGCAAACTCATACAGCCATTTTGGAGATCAGTATGGTGGTTCCTCAGGAAAATGGGAATTAGTTTACCACAGGACCCGGCAATCCCCCTCTTAGGCATATACCCAAAGGATTCACATCCATGCAACAAAGACATCTGTTCAAATATGTTCATAGCAGCACTCTTAGTAATAGCAAGAACCTGGAAGCAACCTAGATGCCCCTCAATTGAAGAATGGTTAATGAAGATGTGGCACATCTACACAATGGGATACTACTCTGCAGAAAAAAATAATGGTACCTTGAAATTCGCAGGCAAGTGGATGGCACTTGAAGAAACCATCCTGGAAGAGGTAACCCAGTCACAAAATGTGGAACACAGTATGTACTCACTCATATATAGACTTTAGACCTAGATCAAAGGATCACCAACCTATAATTCAAACCACCAGAAGAACTAGGATACAAGTTGTATTCTAAGAGATTCATATAAAGTACCTCACAGAACTGGTAAGGGACAAGTCCCCCAAAGCTCAGGGGAAGTGGGGGGCAGCTAATGTAGAGAGAAGTAGGAGAAAACGAGGGGGAGGAAAGGAAAACATGGGCGACCAGGAAGATTGAGCCTGGTTAGGAATAGAAGACAGGAAAGAGAGAGAGAGAGGACATAAAAGAGGAAGCCAATATTGGTTTGAAGATAAAACTGAACACAAAGAAAGGTCTAGAGAACTACAAGACTTCTGCCAACTAACAATTTGAGCTTCCGTGGAAAGGGTACCATAAATGCCCTTCCCAGAGACTGAGATCAACAACTAACTTATCCATGGAGCCCTCAACTAATGCCTGTTTGGAAACAGGAGCAAACACCCATACATAAACACTGAGTCGAAGTAGAACTCAGATGCAGATGGAGATGACAAGACCATACAGCAGAAACACATAGAGACAGCTTACCTGAACAAGGAGGAGCTAAGGGCCACTAGACTGATAGCTGGGAAGCCAGCATGGGACTGACTCAGGCCCCCGTGAATATTGGTTTCAGCCAGAAGGACTGAGCAGTGTAAGGGACCTCAGA